TCTTCTCTCTCTCTCTCTCTCTCTCTCTCTCTCTCTCTCTCGGGATCGGGATCGGGATCGGGCGTGGTCGAGAAATGATAATTCTCTTATTTTTTTTCTGCTTTCTTTATTTTTAAACAGTCAACAAGATCACAGCTCGTTAAGTTTGTGGTACGCGATAATGAGCGCGCCCACACTTGTGTCAGGTAAAGAAAAACTAGCCGCGATATCACGACGACGTGTCGTTCGTAGAGTCCCTTCCGTTCTATCTGTGCAGCGCACGCTCGGGCCCGCGAGCGAACCCGACCGGCAGCGGTGTCATCCGACCGCTCCCGCAAATAAAAAACGAGACAATGCGCGGTGAATATGAATTGTAATGAAATGTGAGGAAAGTATTATACAACGCCGCCCCATCTTGAAAGAACGTGCTTTCAAACATAAAAAGAAAGGTCTAAAGAACAGAAAACTAAGAATTGTGTTGAGGATAGATGTGTTCACTAAGATGATTACAGATAAGAACGGTCTTATCCTACAGATCAAACTTATATATATGTAAAAAAAAATCTTTGGTACAATCGTGAAGGTACCTATGACTAATGAAACCGATTTCTTATTATCTACTTAAATTGAGCTTAACCGCCACTTAAATGTCTATTGGTAATATCGCGAATTTGGACAAAGGTCTTATGAACGACCACTTCGCTGTTCGAACGTTGGCGGCCCGCACAACGCCATCGGAATCGGTGTGGATTTCTTGCACTCGACCTAACAGCCACTGTAATGGCGCCAAGCCTTGCTGCTTTATGAGTACCAATTGATCCGGTTTTAATTGTATGCCCTTATTGACCTTCCATTTTGTTCGCTCCTGCAACGAGTGGAGGTATTCGAGGCTCCATCTTCGCCAAAAATGCTGCCGTAGTTGCTCCACTCTTTGCCAGCGTGTCAGCCGGTTCTCGTTGGTGTCGTGCAAATCGTGGCAAGGAAGGCTGTTTAGCGCTGTGCCAATCAGGAAATGTCCCGGGCTAAGATATGTCAAATCGTTTGGGTCGGCACTGAGTTGCATGAGCGGTCGCGAATTCAAGATTGCCTCTATCTCGCAAAGTACTGTCGTCATTTTTTCAAAGGTCAAATGGGCTTTGCCAATGATCCGAGCCATGTGGTACTTGGCTGACTTTACAGCGGCCTCCCACAAACCGCCAAAATAAGGTGCGTTAGGCGGGATGAAACACCAGCTCGTCTCATGCTCGCGAAGGAATTGTTGTATGTGTCCTTGTGTTTGGCTGTCGTTTATAAAATCGTAAAGCTCTTTGAGCTGTTTCTGCGCCCTGACAAATGCGGTACCATTATCGGAGTATATGCAGGAGGGCTTACCTCTTCGAGAAATAAATCGTCGCAACGCACCAATAAAACCTTCTGAAGTTAAATCGCTTACTAATTCGATGTAAACTCCTTTAGTGGCAAAACACACAAATATGGAAATGTACGCTTTATGGTTGCGGGCGTTGCGTCGCTTGCCCTCTCTTAAAATTACTGGACCGGCGTAGTCTACGCCACAGTGTGAGAATGGTCTGGAAATGGTAACGCGACTAGTAGGTAATGATCCCATTAAGGCTTCCGACTGAATCGGCTTAGCCTTGAAGCATATCATACAATTTCGAACGATTTTTCGTGTGGCCGATCGAAGAGACAGAGGCCAAAAACGCTGTCTGACAGTTGCCATGGTGGCATGCGTTCCTGCATGCAAGCTACGCACGTGCTCCTGCCTTATTATGCGTTTCGTTAATTCATGATCGCGCGGGAGCAATATGGGATGTCGCGCTTCAGGTTGTAAGTCGGAATTTTTTAACCTACCCCCCACCTGTATTAGTCCATCCTTGTCCATGAAAGGGGATAGGGGAAGTAGTTTGCTAGAATTGTTGATAGGACTATTTTTATTTAATGAGCTATATTCGTTGGGAAATGTGCTCTTTTGTACCACCCTGCATGCAACTTCTAGTGCGCGAGATATCTCGCTGTGGGTAACGAATTTTGTTGGTGTGGTCAGTTGATGCAACCTTCGGATTCGGAGGCAGTGCGCCATGATGCGGCATACTTTGTTTAAACTGGAATGTTTCTTCAGTAGGTCGTCAACGATAGAATGATTTGATACGACGACAGCTGCTGATATTTCTTGTGCTTCAGGGATCTCACCCCCCAGGCGCGTGATGTCACTACTCGACCAGTGATGCTTGTCAAATTGTAAAAATGGGGGGCCGTGCCACCACGAATTTGCATCCAACAGCTGCCGTGGGTGGAGTCCGCGCGATAGCACGTCAGCCGGATTGTCTGCTGATGCGGTATGTCGCCAATCCTTTATAGTTGTTAACCGTTGTATTTCTGCAATCTAGTTCGGTACAAATATTTCCCACTTTCTAGAAGTCGAGGTTATCCAACTTAGCGTAATGGTAAAATCCGAACAGAGAAAAATTTTCATTTGAGATAAATCGAGTGACGCGCGAATCTTTTTTAATAATCGAGCTAATAATAATGTCGCGGACAATTCTAATCTCGGTAACGAAACTGCCTTGAGAGGCGCGACGCGAGATCTTGAACATAACAATTCGGTGCGGTATTGATTCTCGCCGAGTTTTGTTCGAATGTATAAGCAGGTTCCGTAGGCACGCTGGCTGGCATCGCAAAATCCGTGCATTTGTATCAATTGCGGATTCGTGGCAAACTTCACGCATCGCGGGACTTGCAATTATTTTAAATCCGCCAATTGCCACTCAAAGTTGGTCCACCGGGTGTGGATGTCCTGTGGAACGGATTCATCCCAGTGACTTCCCAACTGCCACAGTTCTTGTAATATTAGTTTTGCCGTGACGATAACAGGACCGAGGAGTCCGAGAGGGTCAAACAATCTGGCGACTCCGGACAATATCGTGCGTTTAGACACAATGTCTTGATCCTCGCGACGGTCGTGTGATATATGAAAGTTGTCCTTGACTTGATCCCATTTCATTCCTAGAATACGGGAGGTTGCGTCATCGTTGATTGTGACTGGCTTATGGCCTTGATTGTCGACGTCTTCAATCAACTCTGGGCAATTTGAAGACCACTTGCTGAGTTCGAACGATCCTAAGAGTAATAATTGAATTATTTCGTTTCAAACTAATCTCGCTTCGTGGATTGTATCTGCCCCGGTTAGCAGATCGTCCACATAAAAATCCCGTTTAATGTGCTTCGATCCTAGCGGCTACTCCGCTTCGCGCTGCTCTGCTAAATGTTTGAGGCACCTCGTTGCCAAGTATGAGGCGGAAGCGGTGCCATAGGTAACCGTGCGCAATTCGTATATCTTGACATCGGAATTTGCGTCACTCCGCCATAGAATTCTTTGAAGAGGGGTTTGTAATGCGTCCACCAAAATCTGCCGGTACATTTTAATTATGTCAGCCGTGAAGACATAACGGAAGGTGTGGAAACGCATCAGAATAGACATTAAATCCTGCTGACCGACTGGTCCCATCATGAGCGCGTCATTTAGGGACAATCCGGTACTTTTGCAGGAGGCATCGAAGACTACACGTAGTTTGTATGATTGTTCCAAGACCTTCCATATGTCATGATGTGGTAAATAGCATGCTAGCCCTTGGTTAGGGTCATGCTGCGAACATATCAACTTCATGTGGCCGAGTGATGCATATTCATCAAGGAAACGCTCGTAGTGAATTTTCAATGTCGGTTCGCGCTTAAAACGTTTCTCGAGTGCGTGTAACCGTTTCAACGCGATGTCTTCGGAATCTCCGAGCCTGCCAATCACTTGTTCCTTGACTGGGAGCTTTACTACGTACCTACCGCACGGAGCCTGGGCCACATTATTTAGGAAATGCTTCTCACATTGAGCTTCCTCAATGGTATAGCTGACTGGTCGATGTCTTCCTGCCGCCAGAATCTGTCCAATTGTTCGTGCAATTGTGTGTTTGTTATCGTAGTATGGAAAGATCGAATTTTTTGTACGGATGTGGGGGGATTGCTCGGTCGACCTGCCAGAATCCATCCTAAACGAATCTTTTGCAGTGTCGGATGCGTCTGTGATGCTTTAACCTGACCCACACAGATTAAATCCCAGAACAGATCTGCGCCGATAAGGGCGTCGACGTCAGCAGACTGATGAAATCGGGGATCAGCGAGCTGTAAGTTGCGAGGAAGATTGAAATCGGTTCGTTTGAGGTTGAACGATGGGAGCTTGTCCGTGACTTGATCTGTCACGATGCATTCTATATCGAATGTGTACCAATTCGTGCGTGATCGCATTCTCAATCGGACGGTCTGCGTAGACTTAGTAGTCGCGCCGTTTATACCCGAAATGGATATATTTAGGGAACGCGGTTTCAGACCGAGGTTAGACAGAAAACTCTTCGAAATGAAATTCGCCTGTGAACCGCAATCTAGTAACACGCGGCATGGCATTGGTAAATTCTTGCTATCATACACATATACGACGGCTGTTAAAAGCATGGCATACTTGTTGTCAGGAGGACGCGATACGTGGGTAGCCAGCGTGATTGGCGACGCCGTGGAACTTGAATCTTCGGGTTTCTCCTGGCCGGAGTTAGGCGTGTCGGCAGGAACCACAGCATGCAGCAGGGTATCATGTTTGGCTTTGCATACTCTACAGTTGCCCGATGTGCACTTGTTCGCGGTATGTGACGTGGAGCGTAAACAATTGAGACATATCTTTAACTTCCGAATTTCTGCGTTCCTACGTGAAATGTCCAGACCCAAAAAGTCCTTGCAATGGTATATCAAATGCTCACCTTTACAATAACTGCATTTAAATTTTAGTGTCGCTACGCACGCGGCTTGTGGTTTTCCATTTGCATGAGCACGTGCGTTGGGGCTCTTCGTTAGAGCAACACTAGCTTTACCGGTGGCCTCTAGAACTTGGCACCTATGCGCGATGAACTCGACGAGCTGCTTGAAAGTCGGAATCTCGGTTCCCGTCAAGGAAGTTTGCCATTCTCGCAATGTGAGCGTATCGAGCTTAGAACTTAAAACGAATACAAGTAAATCATCCCAGTGCGTAGTCGGGCGATTTAATGCCTTAAAGGCGTTTACATGTTTGGACGCGCCATCCACAATTTGTCTCAATTCTCTAAAGTTTTTCTTGTGCATGGAGGGTAGCTCCATGATCGCTTTAACATGAGTGTGCACGATAATTCGCTTGTTATCATAACGCTCCTTTAATGTTGTCCAAGCAATTTCGTGATTGAGATCCGAAATCTCTAAGGAATAATGTCGCTCGCTTCGCCGGTGAGTGGGGCCCGCAAATATTGCAACCTCTGAACGTTATTCAATGACGCGTTAGAGTGTATAATTGAATCGAACGCATCAAAAACAGGGAACCAATCATCGTATTTCCCGGAAAATGTCGGAAGATTCAGTTTGGGCAACCGCACGTGCGCTACGGATTCTCGAATCCCGGAAGCGTCCGAGGTCGACGGAGACGATGTCGCAGGATGCTGCGATGCTATACGAGGCGGGTTTAAGAGTTCCCGTATTTTGGCCGACAAAATGAAAAAACTCTCCTCAAATGCAGCGCGGTCGTTAGCCTCGCCTTCGTCAATAATTTCTAGTTGCGATTGCGTTACATCATATTCCGACCAATATTGCTCTAGTTTGGATCTGCGCTCTTCAAGCTGGGCCGTTACCGACGGCGAGGCGGAAACGACACTGCTGACGTACGTGCTAATGCGCGTACAAGCTGCCTTGATCGTTGCGCGCCGTTTCCTCAAAATTATCGGATCGTGATCGGAAAGCATTTTCGGCACATTAGATTCAAGGAAGTTAGTTTAAATTCACGACACGCGAAATGCCTCGGGCCGCCCAAGTCGCGTAATTGTCACCCCTACCTCAGTGCGAAACAATCGCGATACTCTGACCTCGAAAAACGCTCGACTTGTATCCTTGGTGGGGCGGCGCTCGTTTCGTGTCCTCCTGGCACGACTGGGCAGGATTGCGGGCGACGTTCGTTTCGTGTCCTCCTGGCACGACTGGGCAGGATGGCGGGCGACGCTCGTTTTGTGGTTAGGATCGCCGTAGTAGAAAAGCCGGTCTGCTTAAATACGCACGACCGGGCCCTCGTCCTCTATTCTCACTGACCTCGGGCGTCTGAGCTGGATCCGGCTCGAAGGACCAATGTTTCGTAATCGTGTGATTTCCACGCAATGATCAACGGCGCTTTTTCTCTCTCTCTCTCTTTCTCGGGATCAGGCGTGGTCGAGAAACAAAAATTCTCTTATTTTTTTTCTGCTTTCTTTATTTTTAAACAGTCAACAAGATCACAGCTCGTTAAGTTTGTGGTACGCGATAATGAGCGCGCCCATACTTGTGTCAGGTAAAGAAAAACTGGCCGCGGTATCACGACGACGTGTCGTTCGTAGAGTCCCTTCCGTTCTATCTACGCAGCGCGCGCTCGGGCCCGCGAGCGAACCCGACCGGCAGCGGTGTCATCCGACCGCTCCCGCAAATAAAAAACGAGACAATGCGCGGTGAATATGAATTGTAATGAAATGTGAGGAGAGTATTATACAGTGTCTACATACACATTTATACATATACACATGGTATAAAAGCTAACTTCAAAATTTTCCTTTATCTCTCAACAATGAGTAATAACTTGTAATAATTAATAATTTATCTCTGTTTTTGTACTGACCACGTTTCTCTACCTTCCGCTGCCAATTTAACAAAGTATGTATGTACATACATAGAGTTCTGTTATTTTTGTTACGTGGGTTTCAAGTCCTTACGTCCTCATAGAGCAAAATAAACGCAAGCAGAACGTCTCTAAAATGACTTTTAATTATTGTTTTTATCGTTTTTATTATCATGTACATAAATATTGAATGCGTTCTTATTGGAAATATTGATTAAAAATGTTAAATAAGTTAAATAAGTTTGAACGCGGTTTTAATCCTTCTGAAATAATGACTCGTGATTGGTCCGCGGTTACGCTCCATGGGGATATAGGGACTTGGAATCACACACTTCTATATATTATTAGACCGCTAACTCCTACGAAATAGATGGCCCTGAAAAGTACACAACACAAGCGCACACAGCATACACACACAAAAACACTTTTTGTCTGTATACATCGGCCATATTACATATCCAGCTTCTATCCTCTTCCTTCCTACTGATTCCTACTTAAGTCACACATGCGCAGATGTTTATTTCTCATACGTAATACATACTTTTTGGGGTCAATTTTTTGGTATAGTATATAAGGGAGTTAGCGATCTAGTAATATGTAGAAGTCTGTGCTTGGAATCACGTAGCGAAAACTGCGGAACTCTCGCGATTGGTTGTGCGCTCGTTTCGCGTTAGGGCCGGAGCACAGACTTTTGCATAAGCGCATAACCATAAGCATAAGGAAATTGATTGGTCCATAAGCATATACATAAGGAAATGGACCAATGCGCTTATGCAAAAGTCTATGTTCCGACCCCTACGCTATTCCGCTGAATTCTCTTATTTTTTTTCTGCTTTCTTTATTTTTAAACAGTCAACAAGATCACAGCTCGTTAAGTTTGTGGTACGCGATAATGAGCGCGCCCATACTTGTGTCAGGTAAAGAAAAACTGGCCGCGGTATCACGACGACGTGTCGTTCGTAGAGTCCCTTCCGTTCTATCTGCGCAGCGCGCGCTTGGGCCCGCGAGCGAACCCGACCGGCAGCGGTGTCATCCGACCGTTCCCGCAAATAAAAAACGAGACAATGCGCGGTGAATATGAATTGTAATGAAATGTGAGGAGAGTATTATACAGTGTCTACATACACATTTATACATATACACATGGTATAAAAGCTAACTTCAAAATTTTCCTTTATCTCTCAACAATGAGTAATAACTTGTAATAATTAATAATTTATCTCTGTTTTTGTACTGACCACGTTTCTCTACCTTCCGCTGCCAATTTAACAAAGTATGTATGTACATACATAGAGTTCTGTTATTTTTGTTACGTGGGTTTCAAGTCCTTACGTCCTCATAGAGCAAAATAAACGCAAGCAGAACGTCTCTAAAATGACTTTTAATTATTGTTTTTATCGTTTTTATTATCATGTACATAAATATTGAATGCGTTCTTATTGGAAATATTGATTAAAAATGTTAAATAAGTTAAATAAGTTTGAACGCGGTTTTAATCCTTCTGAAATAATGACTCGTGATTGGTCCGCGGTTACGCTCCATGGGGATATAGGGACTTGGAATCACACACTTCTATATATTACTAGACCGCTAACTCCTACGAAATAGATGGCCCTGAAAAGTACACAACACAAGCGCACACAGCATACACACACAAAAACACTTTTTGTCTGTATACATCGGCCATATTACATATCCAGCTTCTATCCTCTTCCTTCCTACTGATTCCTACTTAAGTCACACATGCGCAGATGTTTATTTCTCATACGTAATACATACTTTTTGGGGTCAATTTTTTGGTATAGTATATAAGGGAGTTAGCGATCTAGTAATATGTAGAAGTCTGTGCTTGGAATCACGTAGCGAAAACTGCGGAACTCTCGCGATTGGTTGTGCGCTCGTTTCGCGTTAGGGCCGGAGCACAGACTTTTGCATAAGCGCATAACCATAAGCATAAGGAAATTGATTGGTCCATAAGCATATACATAAGGAAATGGACCAATGCGCTTATGCAAAAGTCTATGTTCCGACCCCTACGCTATTCCGCTGCATAGGTTTGCACCCTAATGGCCCTCGCACACTGGACGCGATGAGCGATGAACGATGGGCGATATCCAATGAGAGCTTTATTTTTTCGGAAAACCAGAGCTCTCATTGGATATCGCCCATCGCTCATTGCTCATCGCGTCCAGTGTGCGAGGGCCATAAGGATGCGAATCCATGCAACGGAATAGCGTAACACGGAACGAGAGCGGAACGAATCGCGAGCGTTCTGCAGTTTTCATTATGTTCGCGATTGGTTCCGTTCTCGTTCCGCGTTATGGCCCTCGCACTGGACGCGATGAGCAATGAGCGATGGGCGATATCCAATGAGAGCTCTGCTTTTTCGAAAAACTAAAGCTCTCATTGGATATCGCCCATCGTTCATAGCTCATCGCGTCCAGTGTGCGAGGACCATAACGCTATTCCACTACATTCGCACCCTAAGGGTGCGAATCCATGCAGCGGAATAGCATAACGCGGAACGAGAACAGAAGCAATCACGAGCGTTCCACAGTTTCATTCCGTTTTCAGTAGTTTCTAGCGGAATAGGTTTCACAGATCGCGTAATATACATACACATCTATACATATACACATCGTAGTAAAAGCTATCTTCAAAATTTTTCTTTATCTCTCAAAAATGACTTGTAATAATTAATAATTTATCTCTGTTTCTGTTCTGACCACATTGCTCTACGCTGCCAATTTAACAAAGTATATGTGTACATACATACAGTTCCGTCATTTCCGTTACGTGGATTTCAAGTCCCTACATCCCCATAAAGCAGAATGATCGCAAGCAGAACGAGCAGAACGACTCTAAAATGATTTTTAAATATTGTTTTTATGGGTCGTTTTTTATTATCAAGTACATAAATATTGAAATGAACGCGTTCTTATTGGAAATATTGATTAAAAATGTTAAATAAGTTAAACAAGTTTCAACGCGGTTTTAATCCTTTTGAAATAATGACTCGTGATTGGTTGCGCATTGGTCCGCGGTGCGCTCGTTACGTTCCATGGGGATGTAGGGACTTGGAATCCACGTTGCAAAAACTGCAGAACGCTCGCGATTGGTTCCGCTCTCGTTCCGCGTTATGCTTTTCCGCTGCATGAGTTCGCACCATGGTGGAAAGAAATATGGTGAGGCAATGCGCATCATGAGTTTTAGTTTGGGATCAGCCAATAGGGAACGCCGCGCAGTTGTCGGCCATTACTAGCGGTCTATTTGAACAGTATTATACTTAACTAGGGAATTCAAACAAATAGGAATGGATAGGAAAATCTCTCAAAGTCACAATTACTGAAAAATTATTAATTTTTCATAACGAATTCATAACGAAAGTAATTTCATGTAAATAACAAAACATGTAAATAAAAAAAAATATAAAACAAAAATAAATAACAAACAAATCGGAGGTGAGGACGTT